ACTTAGAAGGTATGCGGCAGAGATCACGATACTGAATATGAGACTTCTAATACTCAACATAATAGGTCTGATGCTCATTAAACGTTCATTATTGCTCATTCAGAAGAAACGGTGACTTTCATCTCAATAACTAAGGTTTGATGCTCAATTAAAATGTCACGGTGTTCAACTAACAAATTCACTAATACTCATTGTGAAAGTTATGTATGATCATCTGGTACTGATCTTATGCTCATTTTGTAAATGTCATATCAATGTCATAAATATAATGTAGTAAGTTTTTATAAAAGACAAAATAACAACAAAGAAAGTGAATTAGAAATTATGAAGCAGAGATCACGATTCTAAATATTGGACTCCAAATACTCAATATAATAGGTCTGCTGCTCATTAAAGGTTCATTAGTGCTCATTTACCAGAAACGGTGATTTTATCTCGATAGTGGAGGTTTGATGTTCAATGAAAATGTGATGATGTTCAACTAACAACTTACGATTTAATAACAACAAAGAAAGTGAATTAGAAAATATGAAGCAGAGATCACAATTCTAAATATTAGACTCCTAATACTCAACATAATAGGTGTGTTGCTCACTAAAAGTTCAGTAGTGTTCATTTTTCTGAACCATCTTTCAATTGTTTTATACTAGTACTTTTCTTTAATTCTGAGTCTTTTGTTGTTTTCAATAAAATGTACAATGGGGGTTGGAGTTGTGCAAAGAGCACATGAAAAACTAACTATAGCTAGAGATAATGATAGCTATTTAGTGTCTCACCACTTCTCAAAATATGAGAGCTATGTACTTCGTACAAAATAACAAAAACGAAGAACGGGCTTATTAGAAACCTAACAATATATAATGAGCATTAATGAGCATAATGTGCATTAGACCTATTATGAGGATTAAAACACTTTTGATGAGCATCGGGTTTATTAGAAACTTAACAATATATAATAAAATTATAAATACATTTATATAAATTAATTAATAGTACGATTCATAGATTAAATAAATACTTCGTTTGAATTAGTTTTAATATAGTAATAATGAGCAAAACAAAGAATAGTTAATATTGTAATTACTATTAATAAACAATTGTAGTAGGGAGTATGAAAACATATAGGCTAAGTAAAAAAAAAAAGGACGGATATTTTCAAAGAGACAAGCAGCCGAGATGGATGGAGTGCTGCAGGCTATATTTGAAGTCCATGGATCGAATCCCACTGGCGTTTATTCTTTTGTCCTGAAGGAATCCAGTTCCCAAGTCCGGATTTGGTCCTAAAAACAAGTTTAGCCATTTTAAAAAACCGGATGTACGTACACCCGGGTGTACAATATAGGCACTCATAAACAATTAATGAGTAACTAAATAGTGATTAAATGTTATTCCGAAAATTTCCAAAATTTTCTTCCTTCCCAAAGTTATATTGAGAGTTGAGAGTTGGTTTTAGAGCACACAGTATTAAAGTTTGTGCTAGTAAATACAAGTTGTCAACCCCTAACTATGAAATAAATGATACTACCTCCGTCTCATTAGAAGTTTCCCGTCCACTATTCATATGGTCAACTTAAATCATTTTTAATATTTTGCTTTATATATCAAATTTTTATCAAATTTATGTTTTTTATCAGGCTTTGTAGCGGTTTTAATGTAGTTTCTGATATGTAAATTTTATTTACTAAAATTAATCAGAGTGTGAACAGGGATAAAGTTGCTTTATCGTCAGTCAAGCATCGTAAACCGTAACGAGAACCTTCTAGCGAGACGGGGGGAGTACTATTTATAACATGAGGTACGTGGTAGTGATGATGTGGAGGATTGTTAGTGGCTAGCTTCCCAATCATCAAATATGGTGCATTAAATGCGTTTCTCGTCAATATCTTGTTTTCCCGTCAAAATGCCCCAGCTGATCGCTTCGAGCTCCCTGGTTCTTGACTCAAGCGAGCACAAGGTTAGGGATGCTAGTCGGGCCATGCCGAGTGTCCCCACTAAGAACCTCAGATAACTGTCTGGCCTTAACTTGGCAAGGATACTAGCGACGAGCATCTGGGGGTATGGACGAAGGTCGGACACGCCTGATGTATTGGGCCATTATTGGGCCCCTTCCTCCTTATGGATTATTGGGCCAACTCTGTATTGGGCCAATTATCCCAACAAATAGAAACAAAAATACTAATAAGATTGTGGGTCATTATATTATGGGAAAATGACACTTTTAGCCCCTGAAATAATCACGAAAATGAAATATCGGATTCGTATTTCCAAGTTTGTAAATGTCGTCCCTCAATTGTCATAAATGCTGTAAATATGGTCCTTTTAGGAGGGAAATATACAATGTGGGCGAGATTACATTTCACCCCTTAAAGGACCACGTTTACAACAATTTGGACAATTGAGGAGTGACATTTACAATATCATAAATACGGGTCCGACATTTCATTTTCGTGACTATTTCATTACTTGTATAATGTTTCAAACCAACGTTGTAAAAAATGATCTACACATTCTCAAAATAGGTCATATTAGTCGCACACATCATCCACCATAATTCGTTTTCCGTGTCACCTACCAAACAACTTAAATTGAAAGTGGTTAATCTTTAATTGATGGTATTTAGGATGTGACCACACTAAGCATAGTTTATAATTTATAGAATGTTGTGCTAAGTAGTGTCGCTTCACAGAATAGTATGGTGATTCAACTCTCTCTCTATATGGCCATGTATCTCTAATTTTGAGACCACACCCCACCACACAATTGAAGAAAAGAAGATTGAATTGGCAACCAGTAAGGATGGTGTGGTGGCTGGATCCCTCTTCGATCTCAAGCGATCGTACCACGGTTTAAACTTTACGAAGGAATCATCTTCTACATAAGTAGACATTTTTCATACATGTACTTTTAGCTACATTCATGTGTAGGTAATTTTAGATGCATTTTTAGTTACATTTTTCCCTAAAGCCCTACATGTTTTTTAGAGAAAAAAAAATGCCCACCTAAAGTTATTGATTTCACCTAGAAAATGCAAGATGTACACAATAATAATACTATTTTCATTCGCATTAATGAAAATTTGACTTTTGAACTATTCATACAACTTAATTCAATTGTGTTTCTGTACTAATGTATTAATGAAATCATTTTATACAACAATACTCGCAATTAAATTTCTCGATCTTAATGTAAACTTTCTATCATTTTAGCTTTTTATAAATTTTGCAAATACATCTTGACGTCTTGAAATTAAACAAGAAAGTCCAAATATTGCCACGAAAAGGATAAAAGCGAGCAGCTCGTTAGGCTTAAATAAAACAAGAAAGTCCAAATATTGCAACGAAAAGGTTTATTCCCATCATCATCCATGTGCCGCTGCTGTCTACCGCTACAAGAGCTCTGGCGACTGCCAAAACTATCCAGTTTTGCTGGTCTGGTCTAGTCTAATCTGGTTTGGTTAGGTCTGGTTTCTTTGTACTTTTATAACTGCCCAAGTCAGGTCTAGTCTGGTCTGATCTGGTCTAGTTTGGGATAAATTACAGTCCAAGTAAAAACATCCTAATGTATAAGAGACAACTAAACGGGGAATTTTATAACAATTGTGAAACAAATTTTAAGTATTTACTTAAAATTGATCGCAAATAATAATATATGAAAATATGGGGTACAATCTCTAAATATGAATCCTCTGATTCTTCACTTGCAATTTGATATGAATATAATTAAAGAATTTAATTAAAAATTAAATCTTTAATTCTTCAAAAACTTGAACGTTCTTCGGATCTTCGAATCTTCGTTCTTGAGATCTTCGAATCTTCGAACCTTCGTTCTTCGGATCTTCAAATCTTCTTGAATAAAGAATTCAGCTTGAAGGGCCTCCGGTTTTCAAGTGGCTTGATCTTCAACAAAAGGGCCGTTTTATGGCTTGATCTTCCGTTAAAGGGCCTCCCGGGATATATGGCTTGATCTTCAGTTGAATCTTGATTCAATCTTCATATGAATATCTTCAAATCTTCAAAGATTCGTTCTTCATATCTTCGAATCTTCAAAGCTTCGTTCTTCAGATCTTCGAATCTTCAACTTCGTTCTTCAGATCTTCGAATGTTCTTCAACTTTTGCTTTGTTTGATCAAGAATAGATGAAATCACAAAGGATTATTCATATATTCTTAAAAAAACGTGGCTTGATCTCTTCCTCTTCTTCGGAATCGTTCAGAGCCTTTCGGGAGTTCTTCAGAGCTTTGTTGCAGCGTTTCTTCGTCTGAAAGTTCTCCTTTTCTCTCAACTGAGACCCCTATTTATAGGTGTGGATGGGGTGAAAATATGGCTTAGGGTTGCTGAAATTCGTCCATATTATATGGGCCTCAATTAAAATGGGTTTTGGGCTCTATTTGCTTGCATTTAATAGCTAGAAAAATCAGCACTTATATAATGTATCTGGACAGTCTTTTTAACAAGGTTCACAGCCATTTTCCATGCACACAGACGGATTTCTTAACCAGATTCGTTGTCCTCTTTATCAATTGGATCATGTCTCTTATGTATCGGGCCACTATTTAATAATGGGCTCAAAATCAAGAAATTAATAGGACTCGTCCATTCTTTTAAAGATTTAATTTATAATTAAATTAATTGGATATTTCGAATAATCCAAATTAATTAAATTAATAAATTTTATCCCAAGAAATCCATATCACTATTTTCTTCTTGATAAGGCCCGCCAATCATCACAAGCAGCCTAGTAGAATTTGACGTCGGCCCAATAACACTTAATAGAGACGCAATGAGAATCAGGATCGGCCCAATAATTTTATATGTCCACAAATGCCCCCTCGAGACTTACTTAAAATGCATGGAATAAGTGAAAGTAAGTCTCGAAAAGAAGAAAAAAACAAATCATCTATTTGACCTGAAACGGGCTTGGTTTACCACATTGATCCAACAAATCTCTTAGCAGATGTTTATAATAATTGTAATGGGACTTTCCAGAACATCAATTTCCAAATTCTAGCCATGCTATGCGTAATTATGAATTCCACCCCAATTAAGACTCTGCATGATACTCCCCTAGTTCTTTTTGAACTCAAGAAATCAAGGCATACGTTTTTTTCGAATCGTAAATCGAATTCAGGCTTTGCATCCTTCTTTAGTACTTGAATTGTACTAGAAATCGAACTCTCTCAATACTCTATAAATAGAACTCATCAGGAATTGACTTGTGCAACAACAAGTTCAAGCAGCAGGCATAACCGATCGAGAGACTATATTTTTTCGAAGCAAAGAGAGCAAAGTTAAGGTAAAATCATATACTCTTCATGATATTTCTTTTCTTCTGTATCGCAGGTCAACCAAATCCGCTGGTTTGAAACGGTGCCACCGTATTGACGAATTAAATCGGGAAAACAAAGGTCAATTACTGAAAATACTCGGAATTTATGATAGCGGAACATTGTTCTTCTTCCTGTTCGTTGTTGGGCCAGTAGTGCCAATTTGAGAAAGAGGAAGGTCGAGGTTCAAAAATCAGGAGCTTTAAGGATGCACTGCCGCAACTAATTTCTTCCGATTTTACTCTGTTTGTTTAGCATAGGAAGAACCTGATTGCTGATATTGTTCACCGAAGAGTTCCCGTTGCTGTCGCCGTTTGCGGTTCGCCAGAGAGAGAAGGTGCTGTCCAAAATCCCAGGTGCAGAGGAAGCTGAGTTCGTGATGTCGCCGGCTGGGGGTTTGTTGATGCACGGTTCAAAGCCGATCAAGAAGGTTAACGTGGGTGCTCGAATTCTTCTGTTGTTGCTAATTTAAACATTCTGAATAATCACCGTCCAAATTTGCCGAAAGGAGGGGAACCTGAGTTCTGGTTTTCCATTGCCGCCGGATACTGAAGGAAGCAGGGTGTTGCTGAGATTTCCCCCCGCCCAGAAGCAGGTTATTCAAAGGAGAAGGTCCATGAAGGGGAAATTCGTTAATGAGGCAGGCCAGTTTGTTTAAAGAAGAAGGCAATGAAGGATTTCATTCCATCGCAGGTCATTTAATGAAGGAAACGCTCAAGGTGCCGGTTCCAACGCAGGTCGTTTAAACAAGAAGACAATGAAGGAGCCAGTTCTACATCAGGTTCTTCGAAGAAGAGGACAATGAAGGAGTCAATCCATAGGGGGCTGCCCAAAGAAGAAAACAATGAAGGATCCCATCCATAGCAGGTTGCCCAAACAACGAAGGATTCCATCCATAGAAGGTTGCCCAAAGAAGAAAAATAATGAAGGACTCCATCCATAGCAGGCTGACCAAATTAAACAATGAAGGACTCCATCCATAGCAGGCTGTTTCAAAAAGAAGGAGACAATGAAGAATTCCATTCTATCGCAGGCCGCTCCAAAAAGAAAAAGGCAATGAAGGATTCGATTCCATCCCAGACCGTTCAAGGAAGAGGACGGTGAAGGAGCCAATTCTATCATAAGTCACCATGTTACTGCCTGAGAAGATGACGGGGCTGTTGCCGTCAGAAGTTGATAATTGGAGACTGATGTGATGCCGCTGCTGTGGGCTTTTCATCCTTAAAGCATATGATCGTTGATGAGGAACTCAATCGATCGTTAGGCTGCCATACCCCTTGCCAGGCCTATTCAAAATTTTAGCCTTCTGATTTTTTTTATTATTTTTTTTAAAGGCTCTTGCTATCTTCCAAGCAATAGTAGATTATGAAGGGCCTAATTTTGATATGATCATTGCATTATTCAATATTCAATGAAGAGATTTGACTGATTGCCGATCTGTAGTGCTGCCGATTTCTTCTCCATTTTCTCCATGGAATCAATCACTTGGCCTGAGATTATTTATCACTTCCGAACTGCCCTCTTTTTTTATGTATTATTATTATTATCTTTTTTTTAAAATAATAATAATAATAATAATAATAATAATAATAATAATGACTTTTTTTTCATCAAACTGAACTCAAAAATGAAAATTTTTGAGCTGCCTACGTACTCCTATGAAGGAGATCAAGTCAAACGTAGTTCATAGTACCATTTGAATAGGTAATTTTAAAGGGGCGGGGTGCCGTACACAGTTTTAACTCATGCGGGCCAGGAGCTTGCCGTACACATTTTAAACTCTCGTGGGCCAAGAGTATCTATGATTATGCTCACCCATAAACAAAGTGAGATGTTTTAGCAGTTTAGCCACTTACAACATCATTGGTGGTTTAAGCCATTCAACATTTCTTATGGCCATATCCATACCCCAAATATCAAGGGTAGTAAAGCTTTAGGAATCTCCCATTGATCGGGCCAATCTTCGAGCCATCTACGTCGACCAACTTGTAGGCACCGCCTGAATATACTTCTTGAACAACATAAGGACCATCCCATTTAGGCGAGAACTTGTGTCCAGTTTTCCTTGTAATAATGATAGGTCTTCGCACAGCTAGAACTTTATCACCAACTTGGAAAGAACGAACTCTAACTCGCTTGTTAAAAGATCTTGACAAACGTGCTTGATAGCATTCTAGGTTCTGCTGAGCTTCTAACCTCTTTTCATCAAGTGCCTCGAGTTCTGTCAACCGCAACTTGACGTTTTCTTCATCAGTGAGCCCATCTTGAATAGCTAACCTCAAAGATGGTATTTGGCGCTCAAGGGGAAGGACTGCTTCGGTACCATACACCAAAGAATATGGAGTACTTTGGGTAGGTGTTCGATAAGTCGTTCTGTATGCCCATAGTGCTTCTTCCATTCTTTCGTGCCAATCTTTCTTCGATCTTGACACTACTTTCTTTAACAGGTTGCAGAGAGTCTTATTGAAAGCTTCAGCGAGGCCGTTGGCGGCAGCATAGTACATAGAGGACTTTCGTTGCTTGAAGTCGAACAACTTGCATATCTTGTCCATCAACTTGTTGTCAAAAGGTTTCCCATTGTCTGTCAAGATATATCGGGGAATGCCAAAGCGGTAAATAATGTGGACTCGGATGAAATCAGCAACATTTTCCTTCTTTACTTCTTTCAATGCAACTGCTTCAGCCCATTTTGAGAAATAATCAGTAGCGGCTAGTATGTATGAATGCCCTCCTGATGAGCTAGGCGTGATTGGTCCAACTACATCAAGTCCCCAAGCGTCGAATGGCCATGATGCTACTGTCGGATGTAATGGTTCTGGTGCTTGATGGATAAAATTGGCGTGATATTGGCATGCTTGACATCGCCGAGCATATTCCATGCAATCCTTCACCATTGTCGGCCAGTAATATCCCATCCTCTTGATGTGAAAGTGCAGTTTAGGACCGGACTGATGAGCTCCACATACTCCGGAATGTGCCTCTTCCATTGCTTGTAAGACTTCGTCTCCACCCAAACATCTAAGAAATACACCATCGAAAGATCTTCGATAAAGTGTATCCTTATAGTAGATGAAACGTGGTGAACGCCTCTTTAAGTCCACTTTCTTGCGGGGGTTTTCCGGTAACTTCCCATCAGTAAGATAATCAATGAGTGGTTATCTCCAATCTTCATTTTCAATATCATAAACCGATGTAGTTGGCATCTCGATTATCTCTTCGGCTGCACCATCTTCTCCGATGAAAGGAGGAATTACCCATTTTTGACATACCCGTACTTGAGTTTCATTGTCAAGGTGTGCCATGTTTGATGCTAACCCTGCTAGTGCATCAGCTTGCTTGTTTTCTTTTCTCGGCACATGTTCAATTGTAACTTCACCAAGCCATCCAATGAGTGCCCTTGCATATTTGTTGTAAGGATGTAGTTCAGGTTTTCTGACTTCATAGATTCCAAGCACTTGATTGATGATTAGTTTTGAATCGCCATAGATATTAATTCGTGTCTGCTTCATGTCTACAGCTATTTCAAGTCCGAGGATGAGTGCTTGATACTCAGCGACGTTATTGGAGCATTGTTTCATAAGCGTGAAAGCATAGGACAGAACTTGACCTTCGGGTGCAACAAAGACAACACCAGCTCCGGCTCCTTCTCTATGTGCAGCACCATCAAAATACATCTTCCAAGGAGGCAAAACTTCAATTATAAGTACATCTTCATCGGGTAGATCATCGGAAAGTTCCCACTCAGCAGGGATAGGGTGATCGGCCAGGAAATCTGCTAAAGCTTGTCCTTTTACAGACTTTTGTGAGACATAGACGATATCAAACTGTTGAAATATCAAGTACCACCTAGCAAGACGATCAGATAGAACCACCTTAGACATCACATACTTCAGCGGATTCGCCCTAGAAACTAGATTTATAGTGTGAGCCTCGAAGTAGTGTTTGAGCTTCTTGATTGCAAATATGAGGGCCAAACACAACTTCTCAATGGGCAAGTACCTCAACTCATGTGGAGTCATCATTCTGCTTAAATAATAAAGGGCATTCTCCTTTCCTTTATCATTTTCTTGAGCTAAAAGAGCTCCCACAGACCTTTCTTGAGCTGCAATGTAAAGTATCAAAGGGCGGCCAACAACGGGTGCATTTAAAACCGGTGGTTTCATCAAATAAGCCTTGATATTATCAAACGCATTCTGACATGATTGGTCCCATATGAAAGGCACACCTTTCTTCATAATTCGACTAAACGGCTGACATCTTCCCGATAAGTTCGAGATGAACCTTCGTATATAAGCCAATTTCCCTTGCAAACTCTTCAATTCATGAATGTTCCGAGGCTCAGGCATATTCATGATAGCGTCAATCTTGGCTTGTTCTATCTCAATGCCTTTGTGACGAACAATAAATCCCAAGAACTTCCCAGCTGAAACTCCAAAAGCACACTTCAGAGGGTTCATTTTGAGACCAAATTTTCTCAAGCGATCAAATACTATTCTTAAGTGAGATAGATGCTCATTTCGGGCCTTTGACTTCACCACGAGATCATCAACATAGCACTCCACGATTTTGTGGAGAATATCATCAAATATTGCTTGCATAGCTCGTTGGTAAGTAGCTCCAGCATTCCTAAGTCCGAACGGCATGACCGTGTAGCAATAGATTCCCTTAGGAGTTCGGAACGCAGTCAATTCTTCGTCCGCGGGAGCCATACGGATTTGATTATAACCGGAAAAACCATCCATAAATGACATAATTTCATGTCCAGTCACAGCATCTATCATCAATTCAATGATAGGCAATGGGAAGTCATCTTTTGGGCAAGCAAGGTTCAGATCCCGAAAATCAACACATATTCGGATCTGTCCATTTTTCTTTTTGACCGGGACAATGTTGGCTATCCAAGTAGGATATTTTACTTCTCGGATGAACCCAGCATCAATAAGTTTATCTACCTCTGCCTCGATTAATGGGATTAAATCTGGGCGGAAGCGCCTTTGAGCCTGCTTTACTGGTCGACATCCTTTCTTTATCGCTAAGTGATGAACAGCGACCTTTGGGTCTAACCCCGGCATTTCTTTGTATGTCCATGCAAATACATCCTTGTACTCTCGAAGTAAGGCCAAGTGTTCTTGTTTTTCCTCACTTGAGAGAAGAGCACTGATATAAATGGGGCGAAGATCTTCGGTGCCAAGGTTTACTTCTTGTAATTCATCCAAGGCGGTTCGCACTCCGTCTTCAAATTCAGGAGGAGCTTCATCAGCATCTTCACCTTCGGCCGGAATTTCATCTTCAAAAGTAACATGGTAAGATGAGGCAACGTATTCCTTGTCATCGGCTAGTTCATCAGATATCAACTCATTATTTTCAAGCATTTGAGTATGAACTATGGTTTTGAGTTGTGCTTTGAGGGTTTCTCCACATGAGACTTTTACATCAGTTTCTCGTCTCATTCTTGACGGAATCAAGCTTCTGCATTCATTCGAAGCTTGTGCTTTTACATATTGGTTGAAAGACCTCTTACATGAGCGAATTTTCCCCAACCTTTCATGTATTGGTTTCCGCGCAAAGTTTTGCCCACTACATGGATCTTCAACGTTCTTCACGATCATCGGGATCATTCCAAGCCTTTCTTCTAAAGTCTTCTTCATGATCTTCTTTGGCTTTGGCCCCATTCTGTCAAATATGGCGGGCCTTGATCTTGCCCCCCCAATCCGATCAAAGACAGAATACTTCGGTTTAGAAGTCACTTCATCTTCTTCACCAGCACTGATATGATGCGTTGCGGCTCTATTTATGAGGATCCTTATGGGTTTCGGCTGAACATAACCCAATCCCGTGTGCCCTCGAAGATTGATCTGCTTCGGTTTCCCTTCACCACCAGCTTTTGGAATGAGTTTTCCCAAAATCTGTTCATCGGGATTATACCCAGCCTTGGCTAGAAGTTTGTATGCGTTTGGGTCAAATCCTTCATTTGTGCGTGCCTTAGGGAGCTGAAATTTCTTAACACCATTCTCGTGTCTCACTTCATCCTCAGATGTGTTTCGAGGGGGCCTTGATATTTCAATCTTTGCAAGAGGGAATACAAGCCCTTCCACGCCTTCAACAAGCTTCCCTTTCAACTTTGGTTCAGCCAAGGGGCGATATTCTTCTTCTTCTCTTCTTGCATTGTCATCTTTAAAAACTTTGGGCTTTAGATAAAACTTTGCGTCTGCAAAGTATGTCTCGGCTTCTGTGAATGGAGTTTCATCGGCTACTACCTTCTTTACAACACCATTTTCCTCATACATGAAGCATTGATGCCACGTTGAAGGGATTACACCATTTTCATGGATCCATGGGCGGCCCAAAAGGAGATTATATGAAGCCTTTGCATCAATGACATGGCATAAAGTGCTTGCCTTTAGCCCGCCAATGGTCAAGTCAAGACGTATCATTCCAATCGCCCTTTGCCCCCCTTGATTGAAGCCTTGAATCATTAAGCGGCTTTGAGATAGTTCATCCATTGATATATCAAGGTCTTTCATAGCTCGGACCGTCA